GACATACCCCTGGCAACTTTGTGCGCGCGTCCGCTTCAGACTGGCTTTTCGCTCCTGTGGGGCTTCATTCGCAACTCAGACCGCAAGTTCCGAACGGATGTGCGTTGCCGGAGGAGGTTAGTTGGGTGACGTTCCTTAATAGAGGCAGTCGCATTTATAGATCCCATTGTTTGGTTTGGTTTGACATCTTTTCTGCCTAGTATTGGTGAGAAGGTGTGAAGAATAGCTGTACAAAAGAAACACCCCCGAAGTTCGAGGTGTATAAACTGCCAGGGGTTTCTTTCTAGCGCGATAGGTAGGGAACCATGGGGGATGTTTTTGTCTCGGCCATTGCCTGATTCACTGCTCAAAACTGTTGAAGGCTTTGGGGCACGTTTTCACCTCCTTACCCGAGGCTTTTGCTTCGTGCATGTCCCGACGATCCAGTGGCGGCTTGGACAGAACGACCTTCAGGCGAAAAGGGGATGGTCAGTCCGTGTTTTGGGAGTTCTTTCATGTTGTGTTTTCTTCTTTTACTTCGCTTGTAAAAGCTGTGTCTACATCCGTGTGGTGAACAACCCTAGTCTTGCCACTAAGATGAACAAAACATGGGCATGAGCACTCATTGTCATTCAACTGCAGAGCAGCAGCACGATTCAGGCTGCGCCGCAACGCACGTCAAACAACAGCAGAGAGTGTCACGAAGCAGGTTTCACAGCAGTGTCTAGCATCCGGCAGCGTCGTGTTTCAATGAGGACAGATGACCGCAGAGTATGGGCATGCCTGAACTCCAAAGCGGAATTTTGCCGCACAAACAAAGTATCCAGCAAATGCGTCCAGGTACATACATGTGCAATCGGTTCTTGTTGGAAGCAACGCAAACGGTACACCCCTGCCTGCTTGCCAGCGGCATCTCTTCGAATCCCGAGTAAATTAAATGCTTCCAGCGCAGGTTCAGCAAAAGCGAATCAACCGATCTGTTGAAGCGCGCTGCCATGTATTTGACAGACTGACACGCTCGCACAGGCTGTGTTTTCTGGGCTCGGGAAAGAAGAGGAGATTCCACCTCATCCACGAATTTTCCTGCGGATGCGGTGGAGCTAGAATCAAAGCGGGTGACGGGGCAGTTGTGCGCAGGAACCGCCGTCCCAGGCGACACACCGAGGAGGATAGTGGGCCTCAAAGCCGTCAGGCGACCTCGCAGATGCAGCAGGGGAGAGAGCGACACATTCTTCAAGTTCAAGAAGAAGGGTGATGAAGAGGCAGTGAAGAAGGGGCTTCAAAGGGTGTGGAACTCAAGGCCTCTGGTGCCGCTGGCTATGCCCAAGGCATCTGGGCCAGACTACATCGAAGTCAAGGAGGCCCGTGCGAATTGGGCTGTGTTTTGCGAGCCGTGCGTGTCGAAGTGCTCTCGCTGTGGCGCCGTGTTGCTCACGAAATGGCCTTGTGAAGTTGTCTCGCAGTTTGCGCGCTTTTTGCCTGGTCCGCGGCAGCTCCGGCTCAAGCAAAGCAGCCCGCGCGCGTAGGACGATGAGATCGAGCTCTCATGTGACCATATACATTGAGCACCGCCACGTGCAGACACGCTCGCCGCATGAATGTGACAAGGTGTCTCCGCGGAAGAGCACTTGGGCAAAAATGCTGACGGACCAATCGTCCTCTAGTTTCCAACCAAATAGTGGATTTCGGGTCCAACATCTGAATACCGTATTTAGAAACTTGAGTATCGCATCGAATCGGACTGCCGGTGCTTAGGTTTAGGGGGCCATTGATGGATTCAAGATTGTCCCGAAAAGTCTCCATATGTATGTTCGCATTTCAGCACAAGCAGGGCCAAATGTGCTTCATGCCTCCGCCCAGAACCCATGAGTTTCGTCACGGGCGGCCGGACGACCGAGGAAAACAATCCTGGTGCTGCTTCTGGCGAACCTTGGCAACGCCTACTACTTGGCAACGATCTTCCTAAGGCCACTTGCCAAGCAAATCGAGGTCGATTCAAAATCCTCCCTCCATTTTGACACGAGCCCAACATGAAATCCATTGCCGGGAGATTCCCATCTTTTCCTCCCACATGCGCGGCCCAATTCTCTCATCGTGAGATATATGACATGCATGGCCGCCTTGCCTTCAGGGTGTACCTGGTCGACACGGTGTTGAACACAGAGGACAGGATGCGTTGCCTCGTTAGGCCTATGTGGGCTTGTCCTTTGTCAAGGTTGGGCCCCTCCAAATAAACGACCCGGTATTGCGTTCCCTTTGGCACGTCAGCTGCCATTGCTTTCTGGCTGCGGTGCAGAAGTCTATTCCCCTAGTAAGCCAGTATCCAGCTTCCCCCAGCCAACCACTGGGTCAAAAAATGGGTGTGTCCTTTTGAGGTTAGATCCCCCCAAATGGATTTCGGTTTGGGTCTCCCTTGAAAACCAAGAGAAAAGGGGGGGTACCCACTCAAAACATGAGGAATGCGGACATACTGTGGATGAACAAAGTCTTGCACCTCCCAAGAAACCCTGGAAGCATATTCCCCTGTTACCAACGAACAAATGGTTTCAACCATGGTTTCATTTCGTGGTGCCTAAGAGGATTTTGTCCACCCACAGTATCATGCACTAGACAAATGAGGACCCATCTTTCTGGTTGGTTCCTTGTGGTTCCACGACAACCCCGTCAGGACCCCAGTGCGGAGGACAGGCTTTGGGCCGCAGCCCCAGAGTTTTCGGAGGGATTCCTGAGGCAACTACCGGAACCGAGGAGTGTTGACAGTTTCACATGGGTGTGTGTGTGTGTGCCTTTTTACGCCCCCCCCCCAAAAAAAAAATAAAGACAAGAAAGAAAGAAACAACCACAACAACACACCAAAATATATATATATATATAGTATATATATATATATTTCCTTTTGGTTTCCCTACAAAATACCCCCACGAAGGGTAGCCACAAAAAAGACCCCCCCCCCCCCCCAAATGCAGGCGATTTCGGACGGTGTAATTCTTCTTGTGGTTTTGGGAGGACTGTGTGCTGTCTTTCATGGCGTTTGCATGAAAGCTTGCGGATGTGCACACGTGGAACAGGACCTCAAATCAGGTTCAGTTTTGTTGCTGCAACTTGACAATGCCTCGCCCTTGGCACGTTTTTGAGTTGCGTGGTTCTTTCCTGCTCATGTTTGTGCGAAACCTGCGTCCTGATTGAGACCAAGGGTTGGGAAGAACCTCTTCGGGGTGGGAAGCGCCTCGCAGAACCCGTTGGCCGTGGCTGCTCTGTGCATTTAACACCTTCGACAATACCCTCAGCAGGAACTTGTTAACCTATATTATCCTCCAACATCAATCAACCCAAAATGGCATGCCCTACATGTTACTGAGGAGGGCAGGCAAATTCATGTTCCCCCATGTTTGACTAGGGCTTCCCATTGGTATGGAGTCATGCCCTGACCATATTCCATCCCTTTAAGACCACCCAAAGGGGTACCCTCAAAAGACACCCCTGAAATGCTTGACCTTTTGCCCGTTCGGAAATTCTTCGCCGGCTACGCCTTGCCAAGAGCAGTGCCAGGGTAGGTCATCTTCTCCTGAATAGAGATTTTGTGCAACCATCTAATGATTTGTATTAAGGGGCCGTGTCCACGGACTATTACATGAGAGGCAAAAATCAAATCGGGCTACCTCGGGGGTACGGAAAATATCCCTGTCCATTTGGCCCGTCTTTGCTTGGGCTCTGTTTGTTCTTTGTCATGTACGCGCTTGCCTTTCACAAAACCCTCCTGTGGCTCTCGGAACCAACAATTCGCCCTGTGGATACCATGAAAGAAATCCAACACCACCGGCTTTCCGCCGGATGGTTTGCTGGCAGACGAAGTCACTTGGGTTTTTTGTTTGGAAACTTCTGAGCGCGGAGCCCTTGGGGCATGTCTATAGATGGAGCTCAGTTCCTGAAACTTGTGCTTTGCGACATGGGGACTCTGTTTCAGTGTCTCAGGCCCACTGAGGCTAAGCTTAAACACATTGCCCAGATTGACATGACGCCAAAGACGGCGGCGATTTTTCTCTGCCCCCTTTTTTTGAGGGGAGTTAGGTTAGGATGGGCTAAGTATGAAGTCAGGTAGGTTCGGGTAGGTTGGGGTAGGCAGGTTTTAGGTGGCGGTCCGTGTGAGTTGTTGCCGCCAGGTCACAGGGGACCGAACCTCCACTGCCTTTTTGCTTGGCCTGGCCTGGGTGTTGCCCAACGCCGGACCCCCAAAGCTTCATCCGAATGGGGTGTCTTAAACATATTCCTGGTGACGCCGAGAATCGCCGCCAATTAAAACCAGACAACTTAGGTTACTGTTGAGACAAACCGATTTTCAAATGATTTGGGAGCTGTTTCGATTTTTTTGAGGCTTAACCAACCAGAACCGCTTTCAAAAGCTCAACCAGAAAGGCGCCAGAATGGGTGGCTCGTGTTTTTTTTTGGCACCCTTCGTTCGGTGCTTGTAAAGGGAAACTTAAAGGAACACCACAATATATTTTCCGGGTCCAAATTACAGACAATGACACACCCAAATGGTTCTGAAGGAAGCACTACAAAACCACTTGGACGTTGACAAAGCGTTGCCGAAGTCGAACAAATACGCCTTTGACTCTTTGGGACCTGCCAAGTGTGGATGCGAATGCCAAGGTCACTGAAATGCGAATGGTCCGAAAGCGGATTTGAAGAAACCCCCAAATGGGTGCAACATTGAGTACCTTTGTGTGCTCGTTCCATTGGTCTGTGGGCGCGAGGGACTTGAGGGTTTGTTTTTTCGGAAGCCATGCCAAAGGGGATGGGTGAATTTTTGTTCAGCGATGTGTGGAGACACTTGTGGTTCCTGATTTTGCCATTTGAAGGGCCAAGCCAAGATTCTAGGTCCGGTTTTGGGTACTAAGTAAAGGCATGGATCATGTCCGGAAACTGTGACTCGAGAGTGGACCGTGCTCGCAACTGGTGGTCGTTGATGTACTCAATGCGCTTTGAGAACGAGGGAAGGTGAGCTTTTGCTAATCTTACAATTCAGGTCGAACCTGATTCATTTGGACTATGCCAGTTGTGGCGCCGTTTCATTTTTAGTTGCAGTGTACCAAGGGCAGATTTGCGTTGGAAGGATGACGACATAGGCACAGGGAGGTACTCTCGCCAATGAACTTAGAGGACGGAAGGACGGAAGGCTGCAGGTTGTGCACGCTCACCTCACAGGATGAACCCATGCCGGAAGCTGACGGCCGGTGTTTTAGCAGAAACAACAAATATGTCAAACTTGGGGGGGGGGGCTCGAGATGGTTGGTCTCAAGTGAATGTAACTTCCATTGAACATGGCAGCGTGACTGTTGCAACGCCTTCCAGCGATTCAAAATCACCCCACGGCCTTTTGCTGCCAACAAACTCAAGGCCCAAACTATGGCGTGCACTACTGACCATAACAATGGGTGGTGAATCTTTGCCCTGCGCAACAACCATGAAAACTAAATCGCTGGACCCAGTTCATCTTGCTGGGCACGGATTACATCGAGATGAAGGTTTTGGAGATGGGCGTCTTGCCAAGGGCAGAGACTCCAAATCCAAGCTTTCATTTCTGCAAAAGCCAACAGTCAGGTATTTAGCCGGGTTTGGATTGGTGGGTTGGATTTGGATTTGAACCCCCGGCTTTTGTAGAGGGTAAATGGGAAACCGCCCAACAACCACCAAACCACCGGGCTCAAACCACCAGTTCTTGAGGCAAGCTGAAACGGGGCATTATGTCTTCCCGCGAAGCCCCTTTTAGCTCCCAGGTCTCTAGGATGTTCAAAAGCAAAACCGATTCGGGCAGAACGCGGGACACCATATCAATAGGCGCGGATTTTCCGGGATGTCCACGTTGCCATGGAACCCCAGAGTCTTTGTTATCAGAACAGAGGTCACACTGTTTTCGACTTGCTTGGGCCAATCTACTTGGGACGTGAGTCAGTGTCTGTGATTCCAAGGGGAATCCTTTGAAGTCAAGCACTTGGCATCACAGGAGGATTCTTTTGGACCCTGACAATCTTAAGTGAGGCAGAACACATGCTTTGCTTTGCAGTTGAGTTGGCTGTGCCAAATCATACGGACCAAACAGACCTTGGTTTACGATCGCACAAACAACCCCAAAGAAGGATCTCCAGGGTTTCCCCCGGGGAAGGACCGCTGTGGAGGTGTCAAGATGGAAATGCGTCCCGCCTTCTCGATTGTTTTGAAAGTTTTCAAGGGAACACCAGGATGTGTGAAGGAAAAATAGGGCTTCCTCTATTTTGTTGCAGATTCTCATGAAATAAAGAACAGCTGCCGACACACACACACACACACCCATCCTATTTGATATGACTTGTCCATGGTTTTATGCTTAGATCATACTGTGGATTGACAAAATCCTGCACCACTTGGAAACCATGGGAAACAATTGTTCATTGGTATTTACGGGGGAGTCATCATTCCAGACCCCAAATGATTCTTCAACATTGAAGCTTTTGGTCGCAAACCTGGCGGATGATTTTAGGGCTGTCAAATGGGTATGGCTCAAAACTAAATCAACAAGAAACCGCTGGTTTTAGTCTATGTTTCAATTTACCAGGCTTCCTTTTGGGGTACATATGTTTGACCCACAGCCAACTGGGTTTCAGCAATTTCAATCTGGCACTGATATTGAAACCGATGCTTGATCCAAGCCTTGACATGGCCTTGGGCCGGCGATGCTCAAGCCGACCAGGCGAAGATCAGCTTGGTCTGGCAAGATGGAACTTTTGTTGGTCTTCTTATCGACAATTGCTGAATCCATAAACCTTGAAAATGGAAGTGTGCATTTGCCTGTGCTTCAGCAGTTTCAACACCTACACAGTCGTTCAGCCAGTCTAAAAGCTTGAATGTTGCAAAGACGAGAGTTTTTCAGGACCCCCACTGGATCCAGGCACTAGGATGTAATCCGTAAGGAATTCTTGGCCTTTGATCGCGAACCATGTTAAAACTGAGCCCGGTTCGCATTGTGCGATCTCTGGTCGAGTTCTTCCTCGGCTATCTGGCAACGAATCTTTGTACTAAACAACCTTTTGGTTGCCCACAACACATGTTGGACATTTGCATGTCCTTTTAACTCTTTTGTCGGACTTTCCGTATTGGACTCACCAACAGTTTTTCACCTAAAGCAAAGCAGAGGTGTCAACATAAGGCATTCCGAGTGTGGCCGGGCTCCAAGAGTATCAATCCGCCGGAGCGGGGTGCATAGTCTTGTCCTTTTTGGTTGAAAATCGTGGGCCCTACAGCTGTTGAAACATCCGGGCCATCGATTTTCCCAAAAGGACATCTACTGGGTGGTCTTTTGATGAGAAGTGATCTCAAGGTGGCCAGTCTGCTGCACCGGCTCCCCGTCGCTTCAATGGTCCGGCCTTGCTTCGGGCTCATTTGGGCTCCCTCCCCCCCCCTCCCTCACCCCTCCCAAGCCTCAATGATGTGTGGTTCCCGTTTGATTTCCCGTCCGCATGGAGATTGGTGGTTTGGATTTGGATTTGAAGCCCTGAATGGGAAACCGTCCCAAACCACCTGGCTCGAAACCTTCCTTTCTACGGAAGCTCTTTTCTCTTGTGTTCACCTGACTTCGAGTCCTTTTCTTTTTCCTTCTTGCGCTCCAGGCTTCAACATCAGGTACCACTTGCGAGTTAACCTCTTCAGGAAGTATCTCCGCTACACTCCGGAGTCCAGAGCGGAGGTACCTATCCAGGCACGGATGACAAGCGGATTGTTTTTTGTTTTTTTCTGTGTCTCTTTTTTTCCCCCATTTTGGGAAGGACGGAGGACCTGCTAAAATGGGACACATTGATCCGTGATGCAACTTGTTTTGGCACATCATGTCCAATTCGCGCGAGAGGTTTGCTGGGGAAGAATGTTTGACCCTTACCCTTACTGTGTGCGAGTGATGGACAGAGTCTCTCAAGATGTGGGGTACCCGAAATGTCTGGCAATCGCAGCACGGCCTTTTGCTCTCCCATGTGTTGCTCGTGTTTGCATGGATGATTCAGACTTTGCTTTGATGCTTGCCCGACAGTTCTTAGCGTTTGGGTGCGTGGCAAGACAGGGCGAGCTTGTACTCTGTTCTTTTTCTTTCTTTCTTTTTTTTTTGGGGGGGAAACCGTAGGGAACCGTCCTTTGTAGTGAGTTCTGCACTCTCAAGGGCTCCAACGCTAGTTTGAAGAACGGGCCACGGTCAGATAAACCCTGCTCAAAGGTCCCAAACCTAGAGGAGCAACATTCAATTGGCCACAGCACTGCATCATGTTCTCCTATCCCAATGATTCCAATTACGGAAGGTAGCTGGATGGATTCTCTCGACAGGTTCTTCTTTTGATGTCCAGTTGACATGGAATCGCTAGGCGATGATTGACGATGATTGACGATGATGATGATGATGATGATGATGATGATGATGATGATGATGCTGATGACGACGACGACGACGACGATGACGACGACGACGACCATGATGATGATGATGATGATGATGATGATGATGATGATGATGATGATGATGATGATGATGATGATGATGATGATGATGATGATGATGATGATGATGATGATGATGATGATGATGATGATTTGTGTACAATATATCTGAATATATATTTATATATGCATATGTATACATGTATAATATGTCGGTTCATCTTGTGAATTGTAGTTGGGCTAACGTGTCAGGACTTGAAGATCAGCATCATGGAGGACATCCCGGAGGTTGTATCGGAAGGCGCGCGTAAAATCGGCAGCCGAGCCTTGAATTGGTTGCACGGACATTCGCCGGCAACGTAAAGGCGAGAGTTTCAATCGAGGAGGGACCCAGCAAGCCGTGTTTGTTCAGTCAGAAGGAATCAATAGAGGAGGTCCTTGGCTCAAGTTTGAGTTGAGACGACCACTCTTGCGCCGCAGTGACTCCATTTGCCCTTTTTAGGCACCCCTTCGCTGTGCCTTTGCTCGGATGGTTTGTTTGGGAGAGTGTCCCTTGCTGGATATGTTCAAGCGTTTGGCTTGGGATCCATTCTTGCCAGAAATCGTTCGGAGAAACCACCAAATTTTCGATTCGGAATCTCGAAGAGTCATTTTCAAAAGAAACGATGGATGCTACAGAACGCTTGCTAAGCACGGCTAGAATCATTTGTAAACCTCCTTTTGGCCAGCGCAACTTGGATATTCACCGCGGCCAGTGGAATCGCTGGATTGGGGCCGAGAGTAGCTCTTCCCGAGTTTCAACATGAGGATCGAATCTAGCAGTTTCATGATTCAAAAACATGCTACTGAAATGGAACAATCTGTGTGATCCCTGCAAAACAGATGACCCCATTCATAACATGGCCTTTCCAGTCCAAAGTTAAACCACATCCTTCTTGGGCGATGTTCTAGTGTTTCCTGGGGAGAACTGTTGTGTGAAAAATAATGTGAGATGTGCGCCCTTGGGCCAAGGCTACATGGTGATCTTCGAACTCTGGGCCATGTTGGGCAAGATTGCCATGGTGTCCATCTTCATGCTGCGGAAACACCCCAGGAGCGCCTTGATTTGGAGAGTTCTTTTGTGCCAAGAGAAAGGTGTTACTTCGGTTCACGGAGCCAAACTGGTGTCACTTTGCTTCAGAGGGTCGCTTCAAGAGGAAATTGATCTTCCAGGTACCCTCTCGCAGGTGCTATGTTAGTGGGAGGGAGGGTACCATGTTTTCTTTTTTTTCCAAAAGGACACTCAGGATTGGTGCTCTGCACTTTTCAAGGAGCTCTTGGAGGAGCTCAAGCAAATGTCTAGAGGTGGACATATCAACCAGAAAAGTAGCGCACTGCAGCAACGACGGGCCCGCGAAATGCCCGCGGAAGCGCTTATATAGAAACTTTAGAGCCTCCGGCTCAGTCCGCCGACATTGTCCTCTCCCTTTTCTCCTTCTTCCTCTCTCCCTTGTCTCCCTCGTGTGTTCTGTCGTCCTCTCTCCCTCCCTCTGCTCCCCATCCTCCCCATCCCCCCAAGCCTGTCTCT